CCTCCACGATCACTGAAACCAAAATTCGAAAATGAAGGTGCACAAAGTACTATTTGGAAACTGTGCAGTTTCAGCTGTCGAGAACTGCAGGATTTGTGGTGAATAAATTAATTTGAATTGTGAAAAAACTAAATTCTTGTAATCTGGAAGCAGTTTTGCAAAGTATTGGCTGATGATTACTGGCAAAAACAAGTCCGAACAAGCAGCGGGAGACTGCCTAGGAACATCCTTTGTGGGATTGGAAAGTTGGTCCTGTCGAATTCGTATAAAAAAACACAGAATCCGAAAGCAGCTCCGTCGAAGCAAGTTAATGTTGCTTTAAGCAATTTACGCTAACACCCGCAGGAGTGCCAACCGGTACATTAGGATCAACACTTGTAAGATCCTAATTACAGCATACTGGTCAAGGCATGGCATAATGGACACGACACTGTAAGATGTGCTATTCTACTTCCTTAGTTAAGAAGGGTGACACCTTATTGAAATGGTGAGTGGGCTAATGGTGCAGCTGCCCCCGTCCTTGTAAAACCTCTGCAGGCCTCCGTAGGCTCAGATGTAAAATTTATGACTTACGCTGATCTGGATCTGAACACGGTCCCCATGAAGGATGTATCCCTGTTTGCATAGATGACCATGGGATCACAATAGGCAACAACCTACAATAAGTTGAGATGACGGCCCGGAGTGGTGACCCAACAGGATTGAGAGCAACGGAGATAAAAACAATACGAAAAAAATACACATTAACGACGGTGGCAAATCGCCAAACAGTGTAAACGAAACGTGTTCGCAAAAAGTGGAAAGTTGCAATCATCAGTGTCGAATCAGGTGGCCTTAGTGAGTTGCAGTATTAGCAAGCCCCAAGGTTAAGAAGAACAGCAAGGACTCCAAGGAGAACTATACCAGATGTTCACACCGAAATACAGCATTAGCTCACTCGAAGAAGAACTGCAGCTTGGGAAGACCAACATTACAGAGGTCAGGAAGAGGATCAACTAACTTTATGACTTCGTCATCCGTAAACTGAATACGCTGAGAACGAAAGCCGAAAATGCTGAAAAAGCACTGATGGAGGCTAAGAAGAAAGCAGTGCTGATAGAAGCACAGGTGACGCCAAAGGGACCCCGAAATCCACGCTCAGTGAAGAGAAGAAGAAAAATGCCAGGAGAAGAGCTTAATGAAAGTGAATAGTGATTTAGTGAAAGTGAAAGTGATACAATAGTAGTAGAGTTAAAAGAAACAAAAAACAACGTAATAAGGTACTCATCCAACGGTTTCGGTTATAAATTTAACCTTTCTCAAGGATTAGAGGCAAGTTTTATTGTATTTGTGATGTAGTGCCCTACATGTTGTTCTTCAACTAATCATGGCGCCCACTTCAGTGCAAACTGTATCGATTTCTGGGTGCGCCCTGTATATTCGATCCGAGACTTTTACCTTTGTAATAAAGCTCTGTTTTGTCGTTTTATAGGAAAAAATTGATCGATTAGTTTGAGCGCGGGCGACACCTGTTACATTTACAATTAAACTTGCCTCTAATCTTTGAGAAAGGTTAAATATATAACTGAAACCTGTAGAAACAAAACCATTTTAGCTGATATTTAGACAGCCAGAGCCGAAACACTGTTGTAGAGCTTAGATATAATTTTGGGCCTACTAAGCACAACCCACCATGTGCATCTATTTTTCACGTTGAATTTTTTTTTAAATGGAATGTTTTCACTGCAGATGCCTTCTTAATTTATTTGTCTTTCGGTACGAATCGTAATATTTGATAAAGAACAACAAATTGTTGAAATATACTTAAAATATAACACTGCTTCTTCTTCTCGGCCTTACACTTTGAAACGTCGTTGAAACGCCATTCGAATGAAGATAAAATTTGATTCTGTCGGAACATTTCTTTTGTTATTGAGAATAATGGGTGCAAACCAGCTGCTATCCATCTCTCGAACCGATCAGTCGCTTTATCACCAGACACTATATTCGAGATTCTTTTGTGCGGCGTGCGAGCGTGTGCTTTTCATTTTTCTATGAAAATGTTACGAGAAAACTGTGTCGTATTAGACACATCGATCCTTCCCAAGCGACCGTGTATTTCGGTTATAAAAACAATCTTGGACAATGAGCTGCAGCTCGATATGTCGCTTGTGACAAGTATCCAGCCTCACAACGTAAAGAACGTTGTGTACCTGGGTATGCGAGACAAGGACGCGGCCGACAACATTGCTTCAGCCCATCATTTGAAGCATTGTATTGAAAGTGAGGGAAATGGATGCTTTGTACCTAGCGCAGCAAAATGAACGAGACAAAAATATTTGAATTGTTTTTTTATGATACTTGGCTCCGTTGAGTCTTTTTAGACATATGAGCCTTACAAATAAACAGATTGAAAAAAAAAAATGGGTGCAAACATTCACATCACGTGTTCCATTAACCTTGGTCTGTAGCTTTTGAACTAAAGTATTGTACCAAACGCATAATTGACTTTCTTCTTTCCTTTATTTATCGTCGGTCTCTGTTCCGCAATCTAGTGCCAACCACCGACGGACATCGTTTGCCATCCATGACGGCAATCGAATGTGCAGGAAGGCAGCTTCCACACCTGCGTAGGATATCGCACCCATTCATGAACACACATGGACCAGGACCAACGACTTTACTTACCTTCCGAAGGAAGACGTGACCAGAAATTTTTATGCCTCAGAAAAATCCCACTGACCTCGGCCGGGATTGAACCCAGACCCATTGGGATGAGAAAGCAGTCACGCTTACCACTACACCACCGGCGCCGACTTTATAATTTACTTGTTAACACCGAAATCATGGATTTATTTGATTTTTCTGCTCGATAGGTCTAAAATGGGCGTAGGAGAAAGCAGTATCTCGATGAACATTTCAAATGGTCCTATCTGCTTTGATCGATTCTCTTCATCGACTTTCTCTTTCATCAATAACTCAGCTGCAAAACCTTTCCCTGTTGTATTTGACGTTTTGGACGCTAGATAAGAACCTCCTTTATCAAACTATGTGGTAGAATTAACGCGAAATCTGTTTGCATAGCAGTGGTTATGAAAAGAGAAAGTCGATTAAGAGAATCGATCAAAGCAGATAGGACCATTTGAAATGTTCATCGAGAGTTCTTTTTCCTACTCATATACATTCTGGAAAAACTTGCTTGCACGCTGCAGTTCATTGCAAGAACTGCCATTACATTTTTGTATGAAACATATGCAGAGGTTGTCATGAATCCAAGCTTACATTGGATGCAAGATAAATTTGTTTTGCGTGTATATGTATGGAGACTTGAAGATAGAATGAGTAAGCAACGGATGAATGAGTAGAAATTCTGTTGGTGTTTGAATGCAGATGGACGAGGGGCGATAGTTTTGGGTTCGCTCGCTAGAATGGGCGTGACACGGGCTGCGGGCGGTGTTTACTAGTAATGTACACCAAATGTTCATTAATATTGTTTGTTCATGATTGGTAAACGTTGCCCGCATGATTGGTAAATGAGCCTCTTTTTTACGAGTGAGTGAACTCGGATCCATCGTCTTATTTTCTTATTTTCTTATTTTATTATCCATCGTATTTGGGTTTGAGCAGGCTTGGCGTGCAAGAGGCGGGATTAGTGTTGGTGATAGAGAGACAGCAATTATTGTTTTCTCTTTCATTCTAATGTAATAACTGCACACCCGCCTATCATTTTTTTTTATCCTGACGAGTTGGTAAGTGAAGTTATATTAAGTAAACAACTAATGATGGAAACGTGAAACACTTGTATAAAATGTGATAGAAGATGAAACAAAAGTTTTTGTACCATTATTCCTGGCTATATTGAACGGTGATAAAACTCTCCGTGCTTAAACCATGGCAGCAGTAAAGAGACTGAATTGGGTGAAGAGGCGACACCTTATCCATTTGACAGGTCTTCTGCTCAATTGGAACAAACTTTCCCTATGACTTTGACAGATAATCGATTGTTCCAATTTTGATGTGTCGTCTCTTTATAAATGCAGGCTCTTTAGGCAGCAGCAGAGTATTTGAACCTTATTTTCAGTGCTACCAGTTCTGTTATTTCTCCCGAGCTTTAGATTATTAATTAATTGGACAACTGCTTTTATGATACAAGGTGTTCATTTGAAATCATCAGTAGGAGAGATGAACGGAGACAATGTTTTGAGCCAAATGAACTGTCAAAATCTGAGTCAAACAAGAATTCCCTTTAGAAATTTTCAGATGATTTTTTAATTCTTACTAGATCAAACGTGAGTATTGTAATCGAATAAAAGTACAAGCACCAAGAATAGGTCAAAATATAGCAATACACTAAATTATTATATTGCACAAACATCCAATGGAAATGAAAAGTATTATGAAACGCTACCTTCTGGCAAGTGTTGCAAGATAATTGACATACGAATCCTGCATCCAATTGTATTTTTTGTTCGACCTCTGAGTATTTATAGTTTTTATTATATGCACTGATTGAATTTCCTACTAAGTGGTGTAGTGGTAAGCGTGATCACCTCTCATCCCAGCAGGCCTGGGTTCAATCCCAGTCGACGCCGCCTGGATGTTCTGAGGCATAACATCTCTGATAACACCTTCCTTCGGATGTAAAGCCGTTGGTCCCCGGTTCATGAGTTGATGGGTCGATAGGTAGGGTTCAGGTGTGGGATGCGCAGTAAAGCCGAAGATGAAACACGTGTGTGCATGGGATTTTTGTTGTTATGCTTTCCTCGGTTCCGTGTATCAAAGCAGGCAAGCAAAATAACATTATCCTTCTACAACTCCGATCGAGCTGTGTTGCAGAGAGAGTTTGTCGTGAAATCGCCATGTAAACTAATTGTTGATTGGTTTAGAAGCCACTGACATTTTGACATGATTTACAGAATGCTTCCTGGGCAACACTGCATGGTGCATTACACATATATTACGACATAGTTTGCATTTAAATTTATTCGCGCTATGTTTACCGACCCTTGCATTATACTTACTTTGCGGAGTCGGGCATTGCAACAGGTTTACTGAAGGTAGTTACCAATAACATTTCCAGCATAATCAGCGTCAAGAACATCTGTAAATATTTAAAAAAAAAAATCAATAAATAAATAAATAAAAAAATCCATACTAAGGGAAAAAATTGTAGAAAAAAATGTATCGAAATAAATAGCCATCGCACCACCAGCACACGTACAGTATCGGACATAAAAATGCACCAAAGCCGTTTCCACATACAAACTAGTTAACTTCGCGTTGCTGTATCATTTTCGTTTTCAACTGATTAAGTTAAAACTTTATGTGAAAAGCATATAATAATGTAAATTTTTACATGTGGCTGAAATACATGGAGTGAAATCGTACCTCAAGATCCAACAAAGGGTGACTAAATTTGTATTATTCTTCTTTTTGAAATATATACATAATTCCCATACATTCACAGATTATTAATACGAAAATTTAAAACATGAATTTCATGATTTTAGAACGAATATTTCCAGGGTAAAACTCATTCACTGTATTAACTTACTTGTGTTCTTCGAAGCATAGCACAATTACACGCAATCGAATAGACGAAACTTAAAACCAACTTAAAACTCAGTAGAATGCATCATGGAGACCTCTTCGCAGTCCTGATTCTTGCTGTTATCGCTCATCGGAGTCGTTCTTGTCCTGTTGTCGTATCTGCTGAAGAGGTTCTCCAACCTACTCTCCCAGACAAGTACCAGCAATTTAGTGAACTTATTCTTCCTGATCGATCCTCCGCTTCTAGTCAACATTGCTCTATAAGCGTCTCCAGTAGACAGCCACCAACGATCATCGTTTCAACTGGCCCAGGATGCACGTTACAAAGCAGTATGGAAGTCTTGGACCCACCTAGCACAGCTGCACCCACTGGTTCCAGTCAGTTCGCTAGTTCCCGCCATCTTAGTCATCCCGGCCCTGAGTCTAGTGCTGCGGACAGGGCTTTTCAAGCTGCCATCCATGGCAAGTATCCTTCATCCTTTGACGTTGCTCGGCCTGATGCCGCCTCCATTTCCAGATCGCCGTCTGCTGTTCCACGTGACCTGTATCTCAAGTCCTACTGTACTACCAGAACGTTGGTGGTATTAATAATTCCCTCGCTGAGTACCAACTAGCATGAAGTGCTACGACATTTATGCTTTCATGGAAACATGACTTTGTCAAAGCAGTTGTTCGACGACTCATATTCTGTTTACCGGCATGACCTATCAACCTTCAACAGCAATAAGAGCTCCCGTGGTGGGGTTCTTTTGGCTGTTCGCTCTAGCTTCATATCTCGGTTGCTAAAACCGCCTGAAAATTCAACGGTTGAGCATCTAATCTCTCTAATAAAGTTACAAAAAAAAAAAAAAAAAAAAAAATGAGCATCTGTGGGAGTCGATTTCTACTCAGAATGGCACACTCTTTATCTGCGTGATATATGTTCCTCCCAATCGCGTTAACGACTGCAGCCTTATCGAGAAGCACGCACTTTCTCTGGATTGGATTGTCTCTCAGATAGGAGTCAGATACAGCATCGTCATCCTAGGCGATTTCAATCTCAGTACCATATTGTGGCTAAGCGACTCTTATGGTTTTCGCTGTCCCATTCGTTCAGATCAGCATCTCTCTCGTTGCTAGACGCGTATTCTACGCAGAGCTTGGGCAAGTAAATGGCTTTCCGAATGCAAAAAAACCGTTTGCTCGATCTGTGCTTTGTCAACGAAGAATTGGGACAAAGTTGTTCTGTCATTCATGCTCCGGCACCGCTCGCCAAAACTGCAGACATCATTCTCCTCTACTGTTGACACTTGGGATCAAACCTGAGAATCGCTTTCTGGATTGCGCCGAAAATGTCTACAACGACTTTTTCAAAGCAGACTTTGAGTCCTAAAACGCTACTTAAAAACATCAAGCGACGCCGTTAACCACGGTCTTCAACCTGTCATTGACCTCTGGTGTTTTTCCTGAGTGCTGGAAGGATTTTTTGTTTTCCCTAAAAGGAGGTGCAAACGGAAAGTTGATAATTACCGCGGTATAGCTGCACTAAGGAAGATGGGAAGAGCGCGTAGGCCCGTCACCCCCTCACTTTTACTAGATATCAGTTTTAGTGTAACTAAATAAACACAGGTCATCTTCCTATTAATTTGTTTGAACATCTCAAGACACATTCTAACTCGGAAAACGCCTAAATGTATGTATCACCTAATTAATCATCGCTGATCAACCAATGATTTTTTGTAATTTTCGATAACTTCTAGCGATTGGATCTGCTTAAAACGTTTCAGAAATTAAGTTTAATTATTACTTTAACTAACTCTTTGGTTATTTTGGTGCTACAAGAATTGTTGACATGCTTAGTAATGTTTCGAAAATGACCAATTTCCCATACATTTTTGTATGGCGTCCTTATATTTATTTCCGAAGGAGAAAATCACATTTCCATTTATTTCCCCTGCGTACATGATGCAATTGGTTATTTCTATGGGTGATATTGTAGCATGATAATGTGGCTTCCAAAAATACATGGTTTCATGGTTTAGAATTCCTCTGATTCTTATATTTGGTAGGCGCCATGCTTTTTTATGTGTCTTTATATTTATTTCCGGGAGTGTACACATAATCCAACTCTGTAATTTGTTAATATAATCCCAAAATACACACAATTGTTAATGCTTTATCAAAGAAAACAGCCAGGGGCGACCCCGGCGTAGTTGTTAACATCCATACCGCTCACGCTAAATTCACGAGTTCAAATCTCACCCCGGACAAGTCACAAATGACCCAAGAGTGTTAAAGTGACTATAATAAAAAAAAAAGAAAACAGCCAATTGATTTGTTATGTTAAAAAAAATGGGAGTACATATGAGAATTTTCTGAGAATAATGATCAATAGAAATCACCGAAAATAACCAAATTAAATTTTATCGAAAGGTCATGTATCCGATGCAAACATTTCATCGAATTTCAATTATGTTTTTTATATAACGGAAAATATAAAAAAAAAAAAACAACATAGGTGATTTAGAGGCAATAGGCAATTGTGTTTATGTTTTGACAAGTAGAAGATATGATATATGATCGATTTTGTAAATCATATATCATATATTCGACTTTTCAAAACATAAACAAAATATTGAAAACATACAAAAACATCTACAGATGGAATGACGGATACAACTATGCTGCTGCAGAACAGATCGCATCGGGGGGATTTGTTGCTGCCGCTATAAATTTTCAAATGTGGCAGAGCCCGACGCCGATGGTGTGATCGAACACCACCAATGCATTGCAATGTCCACAAAAAAGAGACAGCTTATAACACTATAGAAATTTTTATTTTGTTTTTACATGCTCATTTGCGTTAAAAATGGCATCAAAAGAAGAAGCACTTCGTGAGCGCATTGTACAGTTCTTCAAAACACAAGAAAATCGTGGGAAAAGATTACTGTGCATCATTTCAAATCAGAGAATGTATCAATTTCTACTGTTTATTGTATTCTGGTAACAGTTTGGAAGAGAGGTAGTGGAAAACCAGCCAAAATAATGAACAAAAAAGGACTTCGATCGCTACACAATACGTTCTACAACAAAGATTCGATATGCCATCGGGACGCCGCAAAAAAGTTCAAGTGCACGCAACCTCACATCTGTAAAACGTTGAAAAGGATAGGAATAGTTTGTCGACAGAAATCAAAAACTACAGAATACACCGATCAACAATTTTCGAACGTGAAAACCCAATGCCATTCATTCTGTCTCGCACACTGAGTCGGTCAAGTCGCATCGGTCTCGTTGTACGAAATTCGAGTTTTTCCCCACGCGAGGGTTTTTCTCACCAAAGTTAGTTGGCATAGTGTTAAGACAACTAGTGCGCGAGTGAGGGAGCCGTTAATGATATGCCAAGTGCTTTCATTACGGTCCAGCTTTAACCCAGCATCATCGCAACATCATCAGCAAAATTATCACCACTATCGGTACATCACCCCATCGATAGGAACAACGAAAGAGTGTCATATTGCCTACCGAGTCGACCGAGGCACACCAGCATCGAGGTTATTGACTCTGCAGCTGTTGGATAAAACAATTATATCTCTCCAGTCTTCTGCCGTCTCAGTGCAATAGGTATAAAACGTGTCACTTGTTTTGTTCTCGACAGTATCGCATCTCCCTTGTTTCCCTGGTCCAATATTAGGCTGGTGTTTAATTAGGGTGATCAAAAAAATCAAATTTTTTTCCCCTTGATTTTTTTTTCTTTTTTTTTGTGTCACTTAGGGTGATCAAAAATTTTTTTAATAGTATATAATCATTTTTTGTATTCATTTTTTCTTTCCCATGTATTACTCTTTAGTAGAGTATATATATCGGTCATAATTTCGAAGACCCATATACTATTAAGCTATTATAAACCACATATGTAAGGCCAATTCTGGAATACTGCCACCTAGTATGGAATCCATACATTTCCATACACGAAGAACGCATAGAATCTGTCCAAAAACAATTCCTTTTATATGCTTTACGTAAATTGAATTGGACTGCATTTCCATTACCATCTTATGAAGCGCGCTGCATGCTCATCAATATACAAACACTTAAGGAGCGCCGCCAATTTGCAATGCTTTTCTTCATCAACGACATTATTTCAATGCGCATAGATTCGGCAGAAATTCTCGCACAATTAAACTTTTACACACCTTGTCGATATCTTAGAACACGGAATTTATTTTCAGAAAAATCGTACAGAACAAACTATGCAAAAAATAGCCCAATCAATCGAATGATGCGCCTATATAATTTGCATTGCGGAACTATTGACATCACTATGTCCAAGCAGCAAATAAAAACTAAGCTAAAACAGAATAGAATAAATGCATAGTATGTAAGTAAACATTGTATTAATCATTGTATGTAGTCTACACTGGCTTGACGAAATGGAAATAAATATATATATATAAATATATAATTGTGGGTTCGAATCCCACCGGTGCCCTTAGATTTTTTCGCAAATTTTCTCACATATACGTCTCTTACCGATGATATGTGCTTACCTCTCAGTATGTTCAA